ATTAGGACCTTTATTAAGTGAGTTCTGGGGATCTAACGTCCCCAACAGCATTAACTTGAATAAGTTTTAACTTTAAATGAAATTTCAACACTCGCACTAGAACAAAATGACCGTTCAGTGCTTCGTATCATGAACTTGAATATGTAGTGTTGAGTAATTTCATGCTAAAAGGAAACGTCTGTCCAGCGCTTCGAAGGTTTTCAATGATTGTCTAAATTGGATTGATTCATGACTGCAATCTTCCTTATGTAGTGATAGAGAAATAACATCCATACAAATCAAACCACTGGTTTGGTTAAAGATTATGTAATACATAGGATTATTTTCGATAAGGTGAAAACTGTTAGTGAGGTGGAGTTAAATTCCTCATGCATTTACAAGATTAATAGCAAAGACAATAAAATTTGAGTCGGATAAATTTAAGTCATAAAAGCTGAAAGAGAAAGATTTCTTGAAGATAAATTCGTCAAATTATATCATCTTATCAGTAGAACGGCTGTTACAGCACTGAGCTTGAAGTTGATCGATTTCTTGCGTATTCTAGGCTCTGATTATTTCAGTTCACATACCTATTGCTTCTATCGTATAGAGGATTACGGCACTAACGAATCGAAAGACAGAAATAACTGACCAATAGAACAGGTCGATACGGTTACAGTAATATTTAAAATATCAGGCGTAAAAATGAACCTAATTAATAAATCTTCATGAAACATGGGTAACAGATCAATCAAATTAAGACCGAAATCATTATGGCCTTATAATTTCACTTTGTATTACAGTTATTCGGTTGTTTGATATGTAAATCTCAAGTCTAATGACTTTTATCTCCAATCCCTAGCTTGATATCATCGTTTTATTGCATAAACTCAAATAATCTTATATTTGAAATGGTCGATATCATAGTTGAGTAGATTTATAACTCAAGTAGTGTAGTTTCATTCACTGAACTGAATGCTTGAATCATGAAAATTTGTATCATCTTCGCAGTCAAAATCATTATGTAACGGAGTCAAAATCACTATGTGTGATGTTGCTAACTTGTTCTGTTTTCTTTCTGTTTCAGGGCGATCAAACACAAATGCTTTGGAAGCCGAAGAGCAAGCCCTGAGTGCTCTAAACCTACAAGATGACTCATAAGACCTTGGTACTACCCCCACCCTCTTCCTGTAAGAACCCCCGCGTTTTTGATTTTGAAAATAAAGAGTGCCGTGACAACAGCCTTGTGTTCTCTCTTGGTGTGAGGTGTCGAATTAACCTTGTGTGTTGCGATTTTAGATTTCTTCTGCCTTTCACTGACTGCCGATTACGCGTGTTACAATTAGCATAAACGTCAGAACAAAATTTCTATATGAAGTATTTTTAAAAGCCTATTAATTAAAGTACCATTGATCCAAAGAACGACACCCTTCCAAAAAAAAAGGTTTTTCCATAGTCAGTCATTAGAAGTAATCACTGGAAGTTTATATTTTACAAATCAAATCGAAAATCTTAAATAAGAATCGTTCAAGTGACCAGTAACATTCTAAACAGTATGCTAATACAAGCTTATATCAAACCTATTTTACAAAAATTAAAGCAGTTCATACATTGAGTTATTATCTTTTTACATGATAATAGATTAAAAGTGGTCCATTTAAATCATTTTTCCAAACTTTAGAAATATTTACCATCAACCAATGTGTTTTATTTTGGCCACAACTAAGTAATTATTTCGAGCAGAACTCAAGACCACTGTATTTCAACCAAATCAAGTATGAGGAAGATATCCACGGAAAGTAACAGAAGAGCAGCTGTATTGCGGATTAGTTGAGATGACACTTGTATACCATTAGATCTCAGCTAATTGGTCTTGAATTCAGGTGTTTACATGAAAGACTAAAGCTCCTGGATTTGTTTCCCATCCAGGAGATTGCGGATTTTCATATTATAACGAAATATCTTTCTAGTATTCTTCAATTTTCAACTTCAATTTTCAAACTTAAATAGCCTCGTGATCTAAATAGAACTTCAATCATTTCCACAACTTATACACTAATTAGGTCTGTCATTATAATAATTATTATTGATGGTTTCAAAAATGTGTAACTTAACAATCTTCACAACACCTATGCTCACTAGTGACTAGCTCGGCGAGGAATCTTCTCTAAGTTCTAGTTGAGAAGTCGTGACCAGTGAAGTTCAACCTATCCGAGTGTAGACAGCAACTGTCGAAGACTGTGTATGAGGTTGCGCAATTCCGTGAATTTGATCAAGTTAGACATTAACACCGTTAGGTACCGGCTCAGTGGTCCAGAGGTTAGGCATTCGCGCACATTACCGAAGGTCCTGGGTTCGAATCCTGCGAGCTACAAGAGTCATGGATGCGCACTGCTGATAAATCCTACACCAGGACTTGACGGCCGTCTAGTGCTTCCAGGTTTCTAATGGTGGTGGTCTAACATTGATCGACTCATGGTTTCAAAAAAAAATATTACTGTTTGTCTTGTATATTTTTATCATTATTGTTGTACACAGTCCATCACTCATATTCTTCACTGCATAACCTTCAGAGAACATCACTATAAAACATTGATTTATGCTGAAAATATTGACAGAAATTTTTTTTTAAAAAATTATTCACCTGCTTTTTTTTAATTCTTCAAAATTCTCATTTACCACCATACACACATAAATCATTTCAATCATCAAAATACACAACTTTTTTTTATCTTGTCACAATTTGATTGGTTAATTCACTTGTTCAAGTGTCATGATGGGCATAAACAAAATTTTCTATTTTTTTTTTTATATATATATATAAAAAGTCACATGATTTTTCAATCAAACTAACCAATCATTGATGAGGTTGAATTTTTCATCCAATCTCCATTAATCTTTATAAAGTTGCCAATCATATTCTGGATGATTGAATAGAATAGAGCGTCCCTAATACAATACAACACAACAGAACACAACAGAATTATGTCTATTGAAAAATATCATTCAGTAAATAAATCAAAATAATTTGTAAACAATTCTACTGATTAATTTTTTTCAGTACATAAAGAGAAAAAATATACATATAACGGGTAGTTCTGTTGTGATTTATTTGTGTGGTGATCATTTATGCCTTCAATTTGATGATCATATAAAAAATTCATGCATTTCCGATTATGTTTAAATGTACTCACAATGTCAGGATGATATAATTGATTTTTTGATGATCTCATCAACCGATAAATGGATTTGAATGAAATATGCATCTGTAAGGCAAACCAACCCTCATAATATATATATATATATATATATATATATATATAGATTATTTTTGATAACATGTTAATTATATTATTACTACAAAGTATCTACAGTGTAACCTCAACAACAACAACATCCATTGCCAACAATCAACAACAACAACAACGTTGTTTGAGACCAGTACTAATACAAATACCAGAATGTCAAAATACATTTTATAATTATACTGGTATGCCAAATTTAGTTGGTCAAGAAACACAATTTGATGCAAGACATCAGTTGCAAACATTTAAACCATTAATCACTTATAAATGTTCATCAAAATTAAATTTTTTCTTATGTTCCATTTATACACCAATGTGTGATGTAAATACACATTATTTAATTGGACCATGTCGTCCACTGTGTGAACATGTACGTGCAAGATGTGCACCAGTACTGAGAGTGTTTGATTTTAATTGGCCAGAGAATTTGAATTGTTCACGATTCCCAGTGAAAAATGAAGTTGACGGGGCAATGTGTATGGAAGGTCCAGATGATCTGGAAGAAGATATGAATGCGTCGAAAATTGGTGTTAGCATTAGTAGTAGTAGTGGTAGTAGCAGTAGTGTGAGTGGTACTAGTAGTACTAGTAGTAGTAATAGTAATACAAATCTAGAATCAAAAACTAAAATCAATAAACCAGTAAATTATCATCAAGATCTACCATTAGACCCATCAATGAAACAAATGTTACAAGCAATCAATTTAGACAATCAGAAAATCAATAATCACGAGATAACAAACGAACAACGAGCAGTTAATAAAAAGTCTGGCGAACAAGTTGAAGCACACATGGAATTCAATCAAATCATGCAGAAATTAACCGGTGATATGTTATCAACCAATGACATTCTTCCAAACACATGGATTACATCATCATCATCGCATTTACAAAAATATTCTTCATTAAGTATGCCACAATTAATTCACTCGATAAGATATTGTTCACATTTGAAAAAGTCCACTTTTTATATTTATATTAATCGTACTGGACGATGTGCCCCTTTATGTGAATCCAACATATTATATACAATAGAAGCAAAACAATTATCAATCATATGGACTAGTACATTAGCTGGTATATGTTGTGTTATTACATTGGTTACTTTAATACGTTACGTCATCAATGCAAGGGATTTTCATTTCAATGAAAAACCAATTATTTATATTGCATTATGTCAATTATTTTATGCTATTGGTTATGGTTTAAGTATTGGATTGGGTCGTTCGAATGTAACATGTGGACAAGATTTAGATTCTGGTCAAAGAATCCGCCTGCAAGAAGGCTTAGATAATGGTTTATGTGTATTCATTTTTATATTACAATATTTTTTCTCTATATCAAGTTATATATGGTGGACAATATTGGTGATACATTGGACATTACAACGAATTAATATGATTACATCAAATGTTGGCTGTTGTTGTTGTTGTCGTGCTGTGGATCGATCATCACATAGCAATAATAATAACAGTAGTAGTGGTAGTAGTAGTAGTAATGTTGAGAATAATAATAGCACCAATCATCATCATCATCATCATCATCAACATGATACAGATAAAATCAATGACAAATCAAATTGTTACTGTTTACCAATGAATTATTCATGGTGTTTATTTTGTTCAGAGGATGGATTAAATAATTTTAATCAAACAGAAATCATTATGAATGAAGAATTTGTACAAGGTACTATAAAAACACGTAATAATAATAATAATATTAATACTAATAATAATAGTAATTGTAGTTGGTCAACAACAGCAACAACAACTCATCATCATCATCATCATTCTCATCAACACTGTCTACAACAACCACAATCTAGTGTAATGTTTACAACAAAATCAGATCAAGTTTCAGCTTGTTTAACTAGAGAACATGTGATTGCATGGTTAACAGCTGGTCTGTTTACTGTTGGTGTACTTGTTAGTCGACAAGTAAGTGAACTAACTTTTTTATTTTGAATATATTGACATTGAGAATGGAGGAGTTTATCTATTACATTGTTAGTGTGAATTCGATCAAGTTAGACATTAACACAGTTAGATACCGACTCAGTGGTTCAAACGGTTAGGGCGTTCGCACACAATACTGAAGGTCCTGGGATCGAATCCTGCGGGCTTCAAGAGTCGTGGATGCGCACCGCTGAGGTGTCCCATACCAGGACGAAACGACCGCCTTTTAGTGCTTCCAGGTTTCTAATGCTGGTCTAACATTGATCGATTCATGGTTTCAATAGTGTAACTCAATAATGTTAGTTTGTATCAAACATAACCGATAGAAATCAAAAAAATTCAATCTATGTTGAACAACTATTATTGAACACTTGATCACTGTGTCATTTGAATGTGTCATGCATATCTACAACAACACTGTGATTACTAATCAACTGGAGGGCTTTTAGTCTGATACATGAATTCTTTAACTTTTAAAGACCCCATTGAGACAGTGATTTTCAGGAAACAGTGAATATCCGCATAGTAAGCTCTATGTGTATCTCTCTATCTCTCTCTGAATACTTCATATATGCCTTAAATTTTATTAATAGTCATAAATTCAAAATATTGAAGTTTTGTTTACGAATCATGTGAAACATTTGAATGATATGATCTTACTGGTAAAAAAATATAAGCTCTTTTTTTGTTATTCTTACGTAAAATATAATTGTAAGATCCAAACTAAGGTTTGGATTAAGGAATAACTCTCAAGGAAGTTTAGACACACGTCTTGACCAGTTGAAATCTAAAACAAGTGATTTTGGTAAATATTATCACTCAGTTATTCCACCAACAATTGTTCAATTAATCAAATCAACAGCAACAGATAACTGATATTCTATCCCTTCTGGATAGATCAGATTCGTTCGAAAGATAATATTTGGTTGCTTTATAACACAGAATGTTTCCTATTCTGGAAGAGTGCTTCAATTCACAATCGAAATGCACAATTCCAGTCCATGCAAGCCAGACAATCAAAAGAGTAACAAATTAATATGTCTGTCGCCCTTACTAAGTATCAGCTTAAACAACATGAATGCAGTTCAGAAAGAAACATAGAAACTCAGTAAAGGCACAAAAAAATAGAAACGTTAATAAAATACAAATATTATCATCATCTCAAAATGGAAATGAACAGACTAACCAAATGTACAACTGAAGGAATCAATAAGGACAAATTTTCATGAACAAACCCTTCCAAAATGGATCCTTACACTACATTCTAATCAATTTAATCATATTGGTTGTAACAGTAAACATATTTACTTTCTTTTAATTAAAAAATCAACTTTCAGCAAACATTGACAGATGTTTGTTTTTTTAAAAAACGCAACTATCGTTCTGTGTAAATAAGAAATTAAGTATTCCTTAGAAATATTAAAAATTAGTATAGAAAATATTTTTTTTTGTAAACTAAAAATTGTATCATTGAAATAATATTTATTCAAAATCATGAAGCTAATCCATGTTAGACCATTATTAGGAACTCGCAAATACTGAATGGTTGTTTCTTCCTAGTATGGGACTCATCAGCAACGTGCATGCAACAATCCCGCTGTGGTGCGCGCTACTTATAAGTAGTATATGACGCGAGTGTAAACGTAATGTCTGGCAGTAGAAGATGGGGGAAGATCAAGAAAGTAAGAGTGGGAACACAATGGAATTTGTATGAAACGCATGAATAGGTGAAATGTCAGACAATGGATTGATGATGCATTGAAGAATTGCAAATTAACGGTTACGATATTGTTTTCTTATTTTACTGAGTAACTCTGTAATTTTCGTTGAATACAATTCGGTTGCCCTCACCTGTGTTCTCCTTCACTACACCGCAAGCAAGAATCCAGTCTGCAGTACTTTGTCTTGCATGCAAACACCTATCCCCTAGACCACTGAAACGTCATTCAACTGTGTTAATGTCTATCTACGACATGGCGCAACCTCACCGAATGTCTTTGGTGAGTAATTGCCTCATACCTGACACAGTTAAACTGTACTGATCACGACTTTTCAATAGAACTGTAAGAATTGCTTCACGGTGCTAACCACAAGTTAAACACATGATAATTTTTATGTGATTTCCATCGAACTCAGCAATCTCCATTCCATTCATTTTTAAGTACTTTTCATTAAAAAAAATTTAGTTATTATTTCTTTAAAAAGATCATAATATTGAGAAGATGATGAATAGGAAGAAATATTACAACTAAAAAAATATGGAATGTAGTAAAAGGAGAACACAGGTGAGAGCAATCGAATCGTATTCAACGAAAATTACAGAGTTACTCAGTAAAATAGGAAAACCATATCATAAATCGTTCATTTGCAAAATATCAATTCATCATATCGAACTGGACTGTTCCTGTTACAAACATCAATCCATTGTCTGACATTTCAATATTCATGCGTTTCATACAAATCCCATTATGTTCCCACTCTTCCTTTCTTGATCTTCCCCCATCTTCTACTGCCAGACATTACGTTTTTACTCGCGTCATATACTACTTATAAGTAACGCGCACCACACTCGTCCCTCTTTTAATAAGCAGTCGTCGTAGTCTTTCTGATCGCCGTACCGCTGTCTTCTTTGGTGCTTTCCGTCACTCACACACTTGATAATCTTGAAACCACCTCTGCAGTTGACTGGCATTTACACGCTTCAGCTTGTCTTCTCTCCGGATCGTGTACATCGCGCCGCGTCTCTTCGTGATAACGTACGGTCCTGCCCACTTTGGGATCAGCTACCCTGATCCCCCTGCTATGCTACTTTTTTGTTCTCTAAACTTTACTAGGTCCCCCACTGCAAAAGGTTTCCACGTTCTCCTCTGTTGTTACGCCTTCTTTGTGTCTGATATATGTAAATTTAATATATTATTAAAATTCCAATTGATAAAGTTACACATTTGAAAACTTTAAGCTTCATTTATATTAATAACAAATTCTTACTGATTGTTACACTCAATAGTATAATTTAAAAGTCAACTTTACAGTGGATTGATTGATATTTGCCAAGTAAAAATCATTGGGATATGACTTAGAATATTCAATATAATTTTTTGTCTAAACGACTTGTGTAACGTATTGGAAACCATATTTCTCGTTAATCAAAGGCTGAATTTATATTCAGTAATTGGGATGGGATACAGTTCAGTCACATTCAGTCGCATCACACAGTAACTGTTCCCACTGCATTTGATGTAACTCATCAACCTCAAACGAACACAAGTACCGCAAGCACTGAGAACAGTGCTTTTCTATCAGGAGGAGCCATGTAACAACGCAGTTGAAACCTTATTTCTGATTGGCCTATGGCTGAAATCACACTTGTCTTATCTTCTCTATAATCAATATCCTGAAGATCGTATTATTTTTGCTTAACGAAAATCTTTCACTCAACTGTTTTCTGTCATTGTTTCGGATTTTTTTTCTAAAAAAAACGACATACTTGATGTGATTTGTCACACCTCATGTAATGAATAGTTTGAGTAAGTCATAGAGTAGATGAATGAAGAGATGTATGTATCATTTAAGAAGACATCGTTTATGACTACACAATGTGTACACACTTTATCTTTCGACTTCCTCTTGTAATCACAATACATTTTATTTTTTGACAAAAGACTTTATCTTTTCCAGATATCTATGCACAGATAAACACATTGTTTTTGCGCATACACTCCAAACAGGAATAAAAAATGTCTTCTTTACAATATTAATGATTAGACTAAAAAGTGTAGTTCTGTTAAAAGTACCTGAACTAATCAGAAGTGATCCATCCAATGAGAAAGACCATTTGATGTTCATCAGAAACTATATTAAACAATGAGTACATATATATACATTGACCAAGAAATGGCTTACTTTTTTCCAACCAAGGGGATATATATATATATAGCCAAATAGACTTACTTTTCTGATCTTGCTCAAGTAGCTAGCTAGTTTGTAACAGTAAGCATGTCTTAGCGTTTATCTCTCAGATTAAAAACTAATCTAAACTTGTGTAGCATATTTTTTAAATTGTATAAAATGATATTCAATGTGTCTTACTTACTCTGTCAAATTTCATCATATAAAACCAACCATTAAGCACATGAAACATGATTTATGATTATTATATTATATTAATTAATTAAATATCATTTATCACATAAATTTAAAATATCGTTCATTTTGTTTCCTTAGTCAATAAACAACGGACACATTGAACTTTGAAGATTGGTAGACACATGAATGTGAAATATTATTATCATTATTAATATTGGTAATAGTAGTAGTAGCAGTGTGGGTAGTAGTAGTCGTAGTAGTACAGGTAGTAGTAGTCTGGTGCGAGCTACTTATAAGTAGTATATGAAGTGAATAAAAACGTAATATCTGGCAGCAGAAGATGAGGGAAGATCAAGAAAGGAAGAGTTATAAAACAATGGAATTTGTATGAAACGCATCATGAATAGTGACAATGGATTGATGTTTTGCAACAGGAACAGTCCAGTTCTATATGATGGACTGATATTTTGCGAATTAACGATTTACGATATGGTTTTCCAATTTTACTGAGTAACTCTGTAATTTTCGTTAAATACAATTCGGTTGCCCCATCTGTGTTCTCTTTCACTACAGTAGTAGTAGTGGTAGTAGTAGTAAAAAATTTTAAAAGGTAGTCTCACTTAAAAAATGAATGAGTCTAATAGTTACTTCTCTTCTTTTCTGAGAAAAAAACAATCGATTTCATCTTATCGATTTTTGTAGACTTAATAGAAAGAAGATTTGACTATCATCCTATTGATAATGAGCCAATTTCGATAACTTTTAAGGTGTCAGTCAATCAGTGTGGTTGGTATTTTTTTTACTGTTTATAAATATAAGTAGTTTTGTACAGTTTGTGTTGAAATGATTATAAAATCAATGTAAAATTTTTACACGATAAATCATAGACTTCGGTT